GAATTACATTCATTCTTCCTATTCGTCATCGTCATCATCATTCTCATTGTTAATTGTCTAAATCATCATAATCATCCTTACTGTCATCGATCGTTGTAATCATCACCATCATCATCATCATCACATCATACTCATCCATCGTCATCGCCCTCACCTTCATACGTCCTCATCAATCATCTATCGTCGTTACCATCATAATCTTCATCCTCCTCATCCTTCATCATCATCCTCATCATCATATTCATCCTCATCCATCATCCTCGTCATCTTCAATGGCATAGCCAGCTATTGGCACAGTTGGGAGAGTCCCACACCATTTTCCAATGGATCCACAAAAAATGGGTTCACATTTTGAAAAATGGGTCCAAATTATGTAATTTATGTATAAAATGGATCCAGATTTCTTATATTTAGCTTAAAATGGGTAAAATTTAAGAAAATGGGTCCAGATATTTCATATTTTTGCGTAAAATTGGTCCACATTGTTTGAATTTACACGTAAAGTGGGTCCACTCTGATATTGTCCCACACCGTTTGAAAATCCTGGCTATGGCATTGATCCTCATCCATCTTCGTCACCCTCATCCCCATCCTCACCAATCATCGTTATCATCATCACCAACACCTTCATCCTACTAATCATCCTCATCCTTCATCATCCTTATCCTCATCATCATCAACCTCATCCTTATCCTACTTATCACCATCACTCATTCATCATCATAGTCCTCATTATCATCATCATTGTCATTATCATCCTCATTAAAATCATCATCTATCATCATCATCCATCATCATCATCCTTGTTCTCATTATCATCAACCACATCATCATCATCCTTATTAATCATCATTATCAATCATCATCCTCATCATGAAGATGATGATGAAGAGGAGGAGGAAGACGACCAGAATGGAAGATGAGGATGAGGGGCAGAGGGGATGTTTCTCATCATTAACCTCATCAACATCATTCTCATCAATCATACTCATCATTATCACGATCATCATTATCCTCACCAGCCTTATCAGCATAAGGACAAGGGTAAGGATGATAGGGATGATTCTCATCATCCATCATCATCATCATCATCATCATCATTCTCATCAATCATGTTCTATTATTCTCATCACCATCATCACAATCATTATCATCAACAACCATTATCATCAATCATAATCACCATCATCTTCTTCCTCACCATCATTCTCATCTTTCTTCTCATCATCATCAACATCCTCCTTATAATGGGGAATAGGCCTAATGAGGATGCGGATGACAATAAGGAAGATGATGATGATAATAATAATAATGACATCAGTATATTAAGAATAACAGTACTAACGCTAATATTAATGTGAATTATAAACTATAATTGTTTTTAAACGCATAAGAATAATGATATACTATATTAATAATATTATAGAGTAACAACGTAATAGTATAATAATGATGATGAAGAAAAATGTAGTGTAGAAAGATTAAATTTAAATAGGTAAACATTTCCCTTAATTTTGATTGTGGTAGTCTTGGAATTTGGTATTTTGACGTCATAATTAATTTTCAAATTTGCTTGGGAGGTGGGGAATTCCCGTCTGACAGGCCTAGACCCCATCATCCGATGCCACGACGAGGTCGCCACACCACAAATAATGATTTGCTTATCCATATAACATTATTTTGATTGCCAATCCCTAATATTTTGGCTTAAAAGCAAAATTTTGGGCCATACTAAGCTTAAAAAAACTCTCCCATAAGCCCAGAGGTGTTTATTCCTGGACTCTGACCGAGGGTCTAGTCGGCCCTGTGTTTGGACTCACTATATCAGACCCCCTGGGGCCACTACTATAATGGGTAAGTATTTAACTAAGGTCCTGTCAGTTTTCACAGTTATAGAAACAAATTTAAAAGTGACTAAAAACATAAACATGTCTCCCATACCCCGATCCAAAAATTGGTATTTTAAAGCATAATTTCACTATTTCGTTTTTTCGTTGGGTAAATTTTGTAGTAATTCATCAATTATATATATACATATGTTTTATTTTATTCCAGTATGTATAATATTGTATTGAGATTGTATTGTACTTTGATAACAATAAAATTATTTTTACAATAAAAACATAGTTTTTCCCACAATAATGGACGGCATCTTGGAATTTATCATGATGACGTCATCATTCCGATCAAATTTAGAGTGATGAGTAACTATATAGCCAGGTTTTTGATACATTTCATATCCACAGTATATGTAAAAGTGACCAAAAACATAAAGTTATTTCCCCTACCCCCATTTTAAATAGTTTAAAGTAGGGTATTTTAGGCCAAAATTTCAAAGTGCTGTAAAAAAAATTGCCCAAGCCCTAGGCATGGGGATATTTTTTTCTGAGATACTATAGGGTATGTTGATTCAGAAAAACCAAAAATTAAGTTTCCTTTATTTTTTTCCCGCTAAAATTCTTTTCAGCAGTTTTACAACCAGGCTATACCGGTTATATAGTACTTTCACTAAATCTTGTCGGTCATTATTATTTCGGAGTCTCAGTAGGTTTGTAGATAATGATTATTTATGGAAGTACAAGTACTGTACCACTATAAAGTATGATAGTTTAAAGTGAAAAGAAAAACAAAACAAAACAAAACAAATAGGCCATATATTTAGCGTTTGAGTTGATACAAACTGGCACCATCTCCAACATGTTTGTATATTTTCATTTTCTGTCAGTAGAGAAAAATACAGCGCCAAAAACCAAAGGTTATTACAGTGAAGCAATGGTCTGATGAGTAAGTTGAACAGCTACAATTTGAGTTCGAGACAGACTGGAACATCATCAAAGAGAACAGTACAAACGCTGTCTCTTATACACATCTAGATGTGTATAAGAGACAGATTTATTATTGTTGAAATCAATAATAATATTATTTATATATTACTGTATTGTGTTTCTGTTATTTCAAAATTATATTTTAATATTAGAATGAATTACATTGTTACTACTGTTATATAATAATATTATTTATAATATTTTTATTACCACTATTGATATCATTACAGTATTATCATCATCCGTCATCATCATCCTCATCCTATCTGTCATCGTCATCATCATTCTCATTGTTGTCTAATCATTATAATCATCCTTATTATCATCGATCGTTGTAATCATCATCATCATAATCACATCATAATCATCCATCG